ATTATTTGTTTGCTAAATGTATTAGGTAGTGATTTTATTTGTTGAAGTTATGAATTTTTGATAGTACCTATTAATAATTTTTTGTTATTAGGTAGTTACCTATGTTTTATACCTCCTACGGTAGATATTGTAACTTAAAAGGTGAAATGATTTATGGATTTGATTGCATATTCAAATATTTGTCAATTCTAGCTCATCCGACTTCTATTCTATAGTTCTATGCCCTAAATCCTAATGATTACCTATACCAGGGATGGACAACTCCATGCTACTAGAGTTCCACTTTTGAATGTGTATAAATCTAATATAAATAGAAAGATGTTTTGCGTTAGCAATAATGACAATTTAATCAGAAATAACAAGTAGGTAGGTACGTAAAGCAGATTTTTGAGAAATTATCACTTTATTTTCAAATCTCCATTCTAGGAGATGGTTGTCCGTATAATATAGAAAAATTAATTGGTGTTCGTTAGTCTCGCTAAAACTCGAGAACGACTTTTCCGATTTGGCTCAAATTTTTTTTAAGATGTTCGTAATTACCAGAAGAAGGTTGATCCGAAAGAAAATTTTATTTCAGGAAAATCCAACTGAAAAGTAGGAAATCTGGATGTAACAAATACAACAGTGGCGCAACAGTGTATTATATGTATATTGTTTGCTATTGGTTAATCGGGCATGTTTGTTGATTTGTATTATTATTGTTTGTCAATATATATATATATATAAATGAATATTTGTTTGTAGATGAAACCTCTGGGCAGAATACAGGCTATTTTAAAAATGATTAAATTTGGTTTTTTTTTATTCATCTGATATTGGTACGGTTACCTACTGGTTATTTTTTGAATCAACTAAATTTTATAAATTTATAACATCCTGATAAAATAAAAAATATGAAACTGATTGTTGAATATTCTAACTAAACTAGATACATAGAATAATCATAAAGTAAAAAAGAATTTATATAAAATTAAAAATGTTCAAACGATTTAAATTTTCTTAAATCTATTTGAAAATATTTACAAAATTTAGCACCATAATATTAATTGTTCCCTGATGAATAAATGTATGTCTGATGATTGTAAATTATTATTTTACATTTGTGCGTCGGTAGGTACTCGGATTATACTTTGGATTTATAAAATAGTTTTCTAATTAAATTACAAACTTAAATTATATTATTATAATATGATCTTTCCATTTCAGGTTTTGGTAAAAAATAATACCAAAAGAATTTAATTTAGAAATTATTTTAAATTAAAAACAGTTACAAATTTATAAATTATTCAAGCATCTAAAATTATGTAGGTACTGTGATATTTTTTAATCGAATTTTCTACTAATTTATACTAAAAAGATATGTACAGATTTTTTAATATTCATTTCTAGAAAATGTTTATCCAACCAAGCTTTTATATTATTAATAGGTACATACTACATTGATTCACTAAGTAATACAATATTCATTAATTTCTTTTATGTTCAATTGAAACTATAATGTATCGTCAACAAAATAAATAATATCTCCTGAAATATTAGGATTAATAAGACAATATTTTGTGTGAATAAGAAATAACAAGACGACTGTTCCTTTAGTTTCACAAGTTTAAATTTCTTCATTTTTAACTACTTGCAATCTATTTGATAAATAATTTGAAATAAACACATCTAGAGCAATAGGTATATCAAGTATACCAAGAATACCACAATATTTAATTTTTTTTAATGGAAAGTATTTTTTAAATCTGAATACAAGCAAAATTACACACCTACCTTATTATTGTCATTGTCCATACCTACTAGAAGGAATAAAATTCGAAGCTAATAACAGTGCATATTTTGTTGATTTATTTTTCCCAATTGGCTTGTAGAAATAAGTTATATATATTCAAAAAAACAATCAAACGTTTTTCAAATATTTAATATATGAAAAGAGATGAGATATACGTCTATAAATTTGTACATGTTGTAGTATCGACGGTTTTAATAATTTCGTTATTATTCTTACCTACGACTTCAAGGATATTTCTTATCTCCATCATAACGTGATCGCTTTTGGTTGTAGTTTATTTCGAAAATAGGTACTATATAAATCGACGCGAAGTTCCAAAAATAAAAATTGTTAAATGTAGTACACACTGTTTTTTTTTAGCTAAACTAAATAATTAAATTTGTTTATTACACAGCGTCGATGTACCGACCGGCTAGGTAGTATCCGTGGTTATCTCACTTGAATGTTTATTTATTTTCAGCCAGCGACAAAATATTATGACTATCAGTTATACGTACCTACCTATTATATAGTATTTTTATTATTATATTATTTTAACGCAGATTCACGCTTATAATAAATATCGAAATATTTTACCTCCAAGCAATTAACTGTGATTCGCCTTATTACATTTGACTGAATTTTTATGCATTTGCGTTATACTTCACTTTAATATGCTATTACGTTAGTACCTATATGTATAATATTATAATGTTTTATCATTTGCGTTGTACGCAATAATTTAGGATATAATAAGCATAAATTTTGTTTAAGTTTTTTTAGTAGGTACCTCTGTGATTTGAGTGAATATGTCACTCATTGTCAACACTCCTATGAAATCTTCACAATATAATATAGTATGTATAACGAAATTGTAATTAAGTATTTAAAAAATAAACATTAATTAATAATACATATTTTATTTATTCATTTGATGCTTAAAAATCCTATCATTATTTTTTGTTTTTTATATGTATTAGGTACCTCGAGATTTTATTTGTTGAAATTATGAATTTTTGACACTATGAATATATTTTTTTAAAACGTTAATTTGTTTATTTAACATTTGCTTTCCTAACAATTTAAGAGTCAATACTAACGGATGAAAATATGAAATTTTCTTTTAAAAAGCTATACATTTTAAACTCATAAGTCCGACCGAAAATTTCAATTCCACCATTTTTCTTAACTCATTAAAATAGGTAGGTACATATATTTCCCGAAAAAATTTTTAAAAATCACTTGGCAGCTAAACTGCATTTATGCCACAAAAAACTAAAAAGTATTTATACCTTATATTTACATTTAAAGAAATTACTTTTTTTAATGTGTTTGAGGTGCAAATAATGTAGCCATGGTTTGCAAAATGTTAATAACGGCACTGATGAGTTGTAAAATTAGTTAGGTTGACAATTACAATGCTCACTTACCTTTGAGATTTCCAGTTTTCACGATTTTTCTGATCACCATAGTCGATTTTACGTTTATGATGCTTGCAGTCCATTCAGTAAGATGTTGCATGTGATATTTCAAAATGTACAATAATTGCATTTAATATACTGACTTAAAATTACAAGAATCGATTTCGAATTTCAAACAAACTTAAACTAAATTAATAATATTATATATTTTGTGTATTTTTCTGTTGATAGCAAACGGTCGGCGGTATTTCCGTGGTTACACGTTTGAACGTTTTATTTCATTTTCAGCCACACAATTATAAAAAAAAAACATTTTGTTTATGTGAATATTTTATTTCTTATGGACACCATGAGTATATAATAATATAGAAAAGCGGGTTAAGTGGATGTCGCTCTGGTGTACAGTAGGTTACAAGTGGGTCACTGTATGATGGATTGTATTAAATTTGAATTCAATGATAAAACAAACCGAAAAACGATTCTTAATGGAGACGGTTTGTATGGATATTTTATAATATATTTTAATTATTTATTACAGTCTGTGAATTGTATTAGTGTTTTTAAATTCATCACAATTTTTAATTCGGTTTTAAGGTGATAAACAAAGCGTTCGAAATTAAAATCCCTTTTATAGCGGTTTTTCGTAATTGATAGTATTTCCCACGGCATTAATTAATAACTTTAGAGAAAGTCGAAAAATTACCTCTTTGAAATACTTACCATCTTGACCCAATTTGCTAAAATATAAGATACTAGGTAATAAATAAATAATTCAAATGTAAATAATTTGCGAAAAAATAAATAACTTTATTACATATAAATAATTTACGAAAAAATAAATAACTTTATTATAGAAAATCAACAATTTTCTTTTGAATAAGGTTTGCTGTTTTAATAGAAAGTAAATAATTTTGTAGTTGGTGAATGTTTGTAAAGATGAAGTCTGGTACATCACTCTGTGATGTAATGAATGTTCTCATTACTTCCAAACTTGTTAAGGCTTCTGATGAAGTGACATTGCGCACATCATTTCGGGTGGGGGTACATGTCTTCGAATGTCATGTGTTCGAAGGTCATGTTTTCGAATGACGAGTGTTAGAAAAGTTATTTGTTCGAATAGTAATGTAATCGAAAAATTATTTGTTCGAAAAATATATGTTCGAAAAGTTGTATGTACGAAAATTATTTATTTAAATTAAAAAGCTATCGAATATTATAAAAATTAATAAACATATTATTAAAAAAAAAATATTTGGAAAAATACACCCATGCAGTTATAAATCAATAATTAAAAACTTAAATTATATGCAATTGCATTTAAAAACTCCAATTTACAATATTTAGGATTGTCGATTATTCGCTGTTGAATTGATTGCAATCTCATATTGCGGTCCACACCATATTTCTTTTTCTTTATTTGATGACTGGATATTAACATTTCAATCTGTGATTCTGTTTCCGATTAAATTTTTTGCACGATTGTAATAAATTTGTGAAGCCCTGAATAAAATATATGAAATAAAATATTTATAAAAAAAAATATATAAAAATATGATTTTTACCTGGATGAGGAGATGTAAGTCGATTTAACTTTCTATGCCACGATTCAGCTGTATAAGTTGTTCTCGGAAGTTCTGATCTAACACGATTGGAAACTGACCAAATATCTGGTGGAAATAATGGATGATTTCGTGAAGGCACATTGTTAGGCCTACCCCTTGTTCTCATACCGATTTTTCCAAGTACGTACGTTTCTTCAAAATATGTTATTAAACTTTTTTCTTCATTATTATTATTGAACAAAGGTTTCAAAAGAGACCATGAATTGGTTTTTCAACATTTGATGTTAATGCTTGCTGTTTGATATTTTCTTTAATTTTTTTTGCTTCAATAGCAATTGGGTCCGCTGCGTGAGAGTGCTGATCTTCTGAAAATGTAGAAAACTCGTCGATTTCGTGTTCTCCGTTCGATGTTTCAACAGTACAAATTTTTGCTCCACATTTAGTTGAACATGTCCAGTAAAAAACGTTTCGGTCATCGCGTTTTCTTTTATAATTTTTATTTAATATGTATAAAAAAATATTTACACTTAATACTTTCCCTCCGTGTATACTTTTTATAACTTCTATAGAACACATTTTATTCAAATAAAAAGACAAATTACATAAAACGTATTAAATTCTCAACAAACTAAGCTACAGTACAGACTACAATCACGTTTTGTTGTATACTAGACCACACCACAATAGTCATAACTAATAAGATATAAGCAATGTTATCTACTATCTATTATCTTTATTACTTTTATTCAACGATATTAATCGGGTACGTCGATAAAATTTAAGTTTAAAAATAAAATAATAATATTTCGTACATACAACTTTTCGAACATATATTTTTCGAACAAATAATTTTTCGATTACATTACTATTCGAACAAATAACTTTTCTAACACTCGTCATTCGAAAACATGACCTTCGAACACATGACATTCGAAGACATGACCCGCTCCCCATCATTTCCCATCACAGCTTCTTCGTCTTCGTCTCCACTACTTTCATCGGTGGCCTCATCTTTGCTGTCTTTAATGGAAAATACATATATTTTAACCTGTACGCTGTACAAATAGTTCGTTGTATCGGGATTTTTAAAAATCAATCATTTCGTTATATTGAGATTAGTTTAACATTGTTTTAATAGCTTTTCGGCAGGGAACTTCTATTACTTTCGTTATAACGGGATTTTTCGTTGTATCGGTATTCGTTGTAACGAGAACTTACTGTATATGTAATATGTATAATACCGCAATCTTAATAGCACGACGAGGACGATGATGAATAGTCACGTAAATTAAGTCCAAGTCGACGACGTCAAAATAGCTACGATGTGATATGTACGCTTGTGTATTCGATTAAGTCGGTTATATATTAGTATTAAAGAATGTTATATGGAAGTTTGAAAAGGACTTTGGTCTACGGACGGACCTAAGAAACAGATTCAATGCGCACCAGACGTTTCCTCCACTCGGTGCATCGCGGGTAAAAAGAACATTTTGCAAAATTGAAAATGTAAATGTGCTACAGCGGCGGTGAAGTATGCATCGTATAATAATATAGGTGTGTAGTACGCGTATATACAGAAAGTTGGCTGACAAACTTTGTGCAGTCGTTCGGCGGCGAGAAATGAGAGAACGAGAGAGCAAAGGTATATTATTATATATACATATATATATATAGTCCACTGAGAGTTTTATATAACGTATATACATATATACATACGCGTACATAAACTAGGGTATTCCCTCTTCCACCACCTATGCTCGATTTGCTTAAAAAAGAAAAAAAATAACTGATGAACAACAAAAGTCTGCGGAAAAAGTGTTGTTACGAAAGTAGTTTGCTTAAAAAGAGAAAAACGGATGCGAGAAAAACTCGGGTGCAATAGCAGATTGTTACCGGAAAATCATTATTCCGGAAAGTTTAGCGTAAAGTTATATGCGCCACGCGTATTGAAAACAAAAAAATTAAAGAAGTATCTCGAGATCAGTTTTGGAATTCTTCTTCTTCAATCTATATTCGTATTCTGATTACTAGTGTGAGCGTCGTAAATAATGTTTGCAAACGAATTTGGTAAAAAAAAATTACGATAGTACCGAAATCAAGGTTGTTGCGATATGCTACAAGAGGTATAGTCTATATACTACGACTTCATTTATATAATTTATCAATTTAATTTTCTCGGCATATAATATTACATACCATAGACATAATATAACATGATAGACCATAAAACGATAGCTGTTCTACGTGCAATGGTATTGAAGCCAACATGTGTGCAAGAGAGACCGACGATGGAAGGCTACCTCAGATTTATATGGATTTATGTAATCATGTTGTTACATATTTTGTACCATTTCAGGTTAGGTTAGGTTAGGTTATTTCATCGTTACAACAAAAACAGTACAATTTAAATATCAAAAATATAAATTATTCCTCGTCGACTGATATTCATGGGACCAGTACTACCAAATAGGTCTTATGTAATGGCTAGAACAATTAATGCACTTCGAATAGTATCATTTTCTGTTCCGAGTGAAATTTTACATTATCCATACCGATTAGACACGTGTTAATGGAAAAGCAGTATGTTGATGTATAATAATAATATAATACAAAATATAATTACTCAATAATGTGGAATTTAACAAAGAGTTATATAATTGACAACACGCAGCAATAGAGCTAGATGATACTCGGATCCGAGTAAATTAATAATATAATACGCGTCGTGTGAAGGCGGCATAAAGTACTGCAAAATAAATAAGCTCTGTAGCGATTTGCACACACGAAGATGTGTAGTTTAGTGGCAGTGTTGGATAAGATACTTTTAAAAATTAATTAAGTTACTTTACTCGTTACTCAAATAAAATTGTAATGAAATTACGTTACTTTTCAAATAGAAAAGTAACTCATTACTTTCTCGTTAGCAAAATAAAATTTTTTTTTGTTATTTCTTGGCAATCATCTTCTACAGGCAAACTGAACCAGCAAATTCTTTATAAAACCTGTATAGTTAATAGGATCATGTAAAATTTAGTCTTCCACACAAGCTATATTCATATAGGAAACCTATTTAAAGGAATCAAATTAAATAATAAATTGAATGAACTTTTCTCGTGATTTACGGTACAATTATACATTTCAATTGTCAAAACCATTGAAAACTGAATTGTACAGAGTTAAAATTAAATATACATATTAGATTGGTAAACATAATAATATAATCGCATTATATATGTATTCTTTTCAATTCACAATATGTACTTAATAATTCGAAACTAAAATAAGCAGCTAAAAGAACAAAACCTAAAGTTAACTAATGAATTGAGCGTAGTCAATAAGAAAATTAATTTTATTGAACAAAAATTTTTTGAAAATCATATTGAAGTAGTTGGTATTTCTGAGCAAGTAAATGAAGATTGTTGCAAAATAGTAGAATAAATATCAAGGGCATTAGGAGAATCTGTATCAGTCGTATCGGCGTATCGTTCAAAATCAAAAGTGCCAAATAAATCTGGAAAAATTGTAGCTGTTTTAAATAGCTATAAAAATAAAAAAAATCTGATGGAGCTGTCAAGAAAGAAAAAATTCAAAGCAAGTAATGTCAATGCAAAATGGAACGATGAAGGTATATATATTAACAATTATCTAACACGAACAAATAACATTTTATTTTATAAAACTAGAATGTACGCAAAGGCTCATAATTATAAATATGTCTGGTTTAGAGACAGTAAATTATTCTTAAGAAAAGATGAAAATAATAAAGTCTTCCTCATAGAAGACGAAAATAGTCTAAATAATATTTTATAACTGATCTCTGTACCCAATTAAATTGTAATCATTTTTTTTTTTTCTTAGATAATGCATGTTATAGATTCCGTTGAAAAAAACTTATTATATAATACTAATTATTTCCTTACAATATCTGAATTTATGAAAAAATATAACATTTGTAATAATCAATCAATTTTAATGATTTGTGTTAATATTAGGAGCATAAATGCTAATTTAGATGAATTACTATTATTTTTGCAAAATGATTCTTATTTTAATTTAGATGTAATTGTCTTAACGGAAACCTGGCATGACCCAAATAATTGTAGTTATTTTATACCGGGATACAAAACATTTTACTCTACTATGAAAAGAAACCAGAATGATGGTATAATTGTCTTTGTTAAACACCATTTAGATATTGATTTACATGAATATAATTTATGTGAAGCGAATATTGTGAAGTTAGTTATCAATAATTATGTTGTTCCGTTAAATCTAATTTGTATTTACAGGTCTCCCACGGGTGTAATTAATGAATTTTTGACTCGTTTAGAAGCAATTCTACTGTCAGATAAAGACATCGTTGATAAAAACATGACCATCCTATTAGGTGATATTAATATAAATATAATAGGTAATAATAATGTTGAGAATGATTACCTTGACTTGTTATCATCAAATGGATTTATCTCTCTTATAAACGTATACACGAGAATTTCTTCAGGTATTAGTAATAACTCATGTATCGATCACATATTTATCAAATCAAATAAAAATAAAAAAAGCCTTGATGACTTTGAAGCTGGTGTACTTCAAACAGATTTTTCTGATCATTACACTTCTATTATATCCATACCGAAAATAATTAAAGAGACACAAAAATCAGCCTCATTCGAGTATATTAATTTTAAAAAGTTAAATGATTTATTAAACATTGTGAATTGGTCGGACTTAAACAGTATTGGTGACGTTAACGAGTCACTGGATTTTGTATATGCACGTATTCTTGATGCTTTAAATAAATCAAAGAGTCTTAAATTACTAAATTCTTAATCTAATCGTATTAAAAATTGGATGACATCAGGTTTATTATGTTCGGTTCGAAAAAAACAAGAATTATCTTTAAAAACAAAAAAACATCCACACAATAAAAATCTAATAAAGTATTATAAGAATTACAGAAATAAACTAAATTATGTTATTAAAATGGCAAAAATAAATTATTACAATGATCAATTTCAACATGTTTCTGGAGACCCTAAAAAGACCTGGAAATTAATAAATGATTTAACTAATAATCCTAATACTGATAAAGATATCATAAAACGATTAAATTATAATGGTAATCTAATTGATGCTCTAAAAGAACCGCTAACTGCATCAAACAATTTAAATATGTTTTTTTCCACTATAGGACAGAATCTAGCCAATAACATAAAAAAATGTTTCGATGAAGTTCCCGATGTGACATCACCTGCGATTAATTTCAACAATTTATTCTCGGTAAAAATAAATTCGAAGGAAATCTTGAATATAATACAACATTTTAAAGACAATGTAGCTTGTGGTTTTGATAAAATTAGTGTAAAAATTTTAAAAAACATAGCTCCTCATATAATAAATCCTTTAACGCATGTTTTTAATTTAAGTCTGAAAGTTGGTGTTTTTCCTGATAAACTAAAAATAGCGATAATCAAACCTCTACATACAGGTGGTGGATAAATGAGAATATGAACAATACCGACCGATCTCTATGTTGAGTAGTTTTTCAAAATTTTTGAAAAAATAATTAAAGCTCG